CGACGTCAAAGAGAAAAGAACGAGAAAGACACTCACTGGTTGTAGTCCAACTCCCACACGGCCTTTTCAAGGTACCGGACACCACCGTGTACCAGTTTAGTACTCTTACTACTGGTACCCGAACTGAAATCATCTCTCTCCACTACCGCGACCTTCAGGCCTCGGGTGGCGGCATCTAGTGCGATACCAGCTCCGGTGGCTCCGCCACCAATGATGAGCAGATCATATTCCTCCTCGTCGTTACTACGCTTGAGATCCTGAATTTGCTCAAGGCGAGACTTGATTGAAGGGAAACTGGGCGGGACCAATTTGCCTTCACGGTAACCTGGCGGAGGAACGGCAGGGGCTTCGAGACCCGGAATATTTCGTGGACGGTAAGAAATGTAAAGAACACCTGCTCCGGCAGCGGCGGCGGCGGATGTGTAGAGGAGCGGTCTTAAGAGCTTGCGCGAATGCCGAGCGGCCATTATCTGCGGTGTTCCGAATGTACGGTGATGTGATGTGATGTGATGGTGTTTGTTTGGTTTTGGGGGGGGGGGGGGGGGGGGGTTTTCCCAACACTCAAATAAAAATTGATCAAATATGCCGGGTTTCGTCCTTCATAGGAATAGGTGCCAAAATAAGGAGAAAGGAGAATTGGAGAAAATGGGGGAGGGGAGAAGAGAAGTTAAGAGAAGGAGTTACGAGGAAGGCGGGAACCCCGATGGGAATATCTTCATTCCCTTTATCAACGCAACAACACTCTACGAAAGGCAAGATTTGCGACAATCTTCAAGGTACAGAGTACTCCGAACCAGATACCTGATCGCTACACCTTCCACTACGAACACAGGGGTGTCACGAGTCTGCGTCATGAGAGCAAGCTCATTGGAACAGCTGGGCAGTGGAGATGGCTATGCGCCTCTTATTCTTCTCAATTGGCTAATGCTCCCGGGTCTCTACTCCGACACATGACGCGAAGAAACATCCCCTTTTTTCCACTCCAGTTCCCCAACTCTCGGCTTCTAGGGGATGTGTCCGTATTCAGGGCTTCAAGGAGTAGAAATGTATTGACGTCGGGAAATTCCGTGTTCCAGGGCCCGCGTTTTTATCTCCGGGGCCGCAGATCTACCTCCAAGGGTCTGGACTCGATCAATCTCTTCGTGGCCACCTGACTGAGAGCTCCATGAACATTGGCCAGTCACAGCCCCATCCGGGCCACGGAGCCCAGGGGGCCCGTTATGAACACTTTGTTTGGATCTCTACTCCACTGGTTGGAATTGTTCAATTCCCCCTGGGTACGGAGTACGGAGTACATGTATCTTGCTTATTTTGCTTTTCCTGCTGATTAGGCCCCACCTTGCCAATCCCTCGAGGTTGGGTTCTGATTTGGGTGAACAGGATGTCATCGGTTCTCTCGACATAGGTGTTGTAGTACCCACAAGGCCATGAACTCTTCATCTGACTGTAACCTTTGGACTGGATAATTTGTCAACGGACGCTCTTCTAGAAAGGTCTTGAAAAAGAGAGGGAGGAGTCCTTGCACGAGTGGATCTGATCTTCACTAGTCCCCTTATTCACCAAATAGCGTGGTGTCAACTATCATATCATAAACAACGAGATAAAGTACAATTCAAAACCTAACGTGAGAAAGGGTGTCTGGGAAATCCTCCAGGGATAAATGCCCCTTGAAACCCATTTGGCCAAATGAATACAACATACCTTGGTTATTGGTCTGGGCATCCCAGATCCCACCAAGTCCACACAACAGAAAGGGGGCCATTTACACCACAATCTCCCAAGACAGTTAGATCAAAATCCACCCAAATCTGAAGGGCTCCAAGATCTAACATGAAAGAAGAACTCGGGATAAGCATAATCTGAAACCACAAAATGCTCGTCTGCTCCCGATGTGAGGACAACCAAAAACCTCGGTCTAACATCTACTGAGACCTAGAACCATATATTGTCCATCTCTCTCCAGACCCGTCGAGCGGAAGATTTCCGCAGTGCCGAGCGACCTCGGCTGAGCACGTCGCTAGATGCCTACAAAGGCCCAGCAAGACCCGGCAAGATCAAAGGTAGTGTGGGGTAAGAGACACCAAGAGAAGATCCTGGCTTGAACCACCTTGACAGTACGGAAATGTTCTATTCAAAATGCTGCCTAGGCTTATGAGGGTCCTACGATACCTATATAACCCCCAGCTGATAGGTTTCGATTCGTGTAATGTTCATGAGGATCTTTGGATAGACTCCCATAAAGATCTAGCACCATGGCAATTGCCGCTGTCCTGACATCGTTACAAGGCAGCGTGATGGAGTGTCTCTACCACTTACGAGTCGCCTCCCTTCTCGTCCCCATCCTCTATGTCATTCTAAATGAGTGCATTCGTAATTCGACCCGTGTCAAGGGGATGACAGGTCCGTGGGGATTGCCGTTGATTGGAAACCTGGCGCAAATTCGCACAGACGCCGCCGAGCAGTATCGCCTGTGGTCAAAAAAGCATAGCGCCGTTTATCAGATCCAGCTCAGGAATATCCCCGTCATCGTGGTTAGATCTGCTACATCGGCAAAGGTGCTTTTTGGTCATAATGCGCAGGCCTTGAGTTCCAGGCCGGAGACTGATACTTTCCACAAGGTCGTTTATCGAAGTTGTGACACGTGCTGGCTTTGGCTTTCTGTGATTGGAACTGATGACCGACACACCTAGATTGTTTCGAATACTGCCAGAACGACAATCGGCACCTCGCCCTACGGTGAGTCCTTAAAGAGACGCAGAAAGGGCGCTGCATCGGCTCTCAACCTCCCCTCCGTTGATATGTACGTGTCACACCTGGACGTTGAGACAAAAGCCTATGTGGAAGAACTGTACAGATATGGAAACCACGGGAAGACACCCATCAACCCCATGCCCATGATCCAGCGTCTGAGCTTGAGTTTGGCATTGACTCTGAACTGGGGAGTGCGTATTGCCTCGCAGGAAAAGGAGTTGTTCGATGAGATCACCGAGGTGGAAGAAGAGATCAGTCGGTTCCGAAGCACCACCGGAAATCTGCAGGATTATCTCCCTCTTCTGCGGTTAAATCCGTTTAGCGCCAACTTGAAGAGAGCTGTGGAGATGAGAACCCGTCGCGATAAGTATCTCGGGGCACTTTATAGTGACTTGGATGATCGCATGGCAAAGGGGATACACAAGCCTTGTATCCAGGCCAACGTTATTATGGAGAAGGAGGCTAAGCTGAATAGTGAGGAGTTGACGTCGATTAGGTTGACCATGCCTTCTGGTGGACTTGATACGGTCACCACTTTGGTTGCCTGGAGTTTGGGCTTGCTGTCTCAGCGTCCCGATATCCAGGATCGGGCGGCCGTGGCGGTTCGGGAAATGTATGGTGAAGATGAGCCCATGTGCTCTTCGGATGATGATCGGAAGTGTGCGTACATTGCAGCTCTGGTCAAGGAATGTCTTCGGTATGTTTTAGTCTCATCGCTTCCACGAGCGTTCAATGGACGTTGAGCTAACTACAATACTTTTAGATTCTTCACTGTGCTTCGATTGGCACTTCCTCGTACCTCGATCGAGGACATCACTTATGATGGAATCATCATTTCCAAGGGTACCATATTCTTTTTGAATGCCTGGGCATGCAAAATGGGTGAATCAATCTTGACATTCTGGGTAACAAATCCACAAAATACATCTAACCGTTCATAGATCCCGACGTGTGGGCTGACCCGGATGAGTTCCGTCCCGAGCGCTGGCTCAAGCAGCCCGATGCGCCTCTCTTTACGTACGGTATGGGCTATCGGATGTGCGCCGGCTCGCTGCTAGCCAACTGTGAGCTCTATCTCGTCTTCATCCGCACCCTCAACAGCTTCCGCCTCGAACCTCATGACAAAACAGACTACCACCCTCTCCGGGGAAACTCAGATCCGACAAGTTTGGTAGCCATTCCTCGAAAATATCAGGTCCGATTTGTACCGAAGAACGAAAAGGCTCTGTCGCAGGTTCTTGTCCAGTAAATGGTGCCCACTTGGTCCTTAGCATCGAGTTGGGCGGGAAGACACTTCGGCACAGAGCCAAATCCGGTCGAGGGATGGCCGATGGTTACATGGCGGTCGTGGGCTAGAGCTTCTGCATGCGCTTGAATCTCAGATTGCTGGCTCCATACAGCTTTGATGTCGTCAATGAGTCGGAGAGTCGTGGTTCTAGTTTATCCAGCGTCCCTAATTGGACGGCTAACGGCGAACATGTTCCGGATAACCCACCCTTGACTGACGTGGGAGACTGACATGGCACACTCAACGTACCCAATTCAGGCTTGGGCGTTGCTCATCATCTACTGAGAACATCAAGATGTTTCCTTTTCTTTTTCGTTCGTTATTTTTTGGGGGGGTTTTCTCAAAACTATCACCTAAAATTCCAATTCTGATTGTAGGCAGTCTAGTAGATAACTAATTAAGTGAGGCACCTTGGCCTGGATTCAACTCCTTCCGATGGTCATGATAGATATAAACAATTGAGGGGGGTATAGGTTCGTAAGAAAAGATCATCTAGGGCAGGGTTGATCCACAAGAAAAACAGAAAGAAAAGAAAACCCTCCACCCGCCTGCAAGGAAATGGTATATCTTTCCCGACAATGACGCCTTATATCCAGTATATGCAAATTATCAAAAAGCAGTTTGAGGGCTGCATGCATTTGGGTACCCTCGACATCATCCAGATGTGGGATGACGAGCTCGAGAAGCACAGGTTTTCGCTTTGGAGTTCGAACGGAAATTAGGTGGTAGTCATGCGTCGTTTCAGGTCGCGGACTTGGTCGAAGCAAGATGCATAATCGCGCAATTCATCCTGCAGCCGGTCGGCCACATTGGACGAATTGGATGTGTCGCTCTTTAGTGAAGAGAGTGAGGTTTGAGATGAGCAGACAGTGAGAATTTGAGAGGGGTGATGGGTGTCTGGGGTATTGGCCTCGGCTTGAGCATGGGCCTGGTTGATCTCAGACCAATGTGTAGACGCTGCACTCGATCTTCGTGACATCCCATCGGACATCTCATCCAGCTCCGCTAGACGGCACGTTTGGGAGCAGTATGGAGCGCCCAGGGTCTGACGGTCACAGACTAGGCAGAAGTCCAAAGACCATTCAGTTGACATAGTATATTAAAGTAACAGTGGCCTCAGGTCAAGGGTGATGATAACAATGAGATTGAGGCAGGTAAGGTTGTCAGGTTGCAATTGTAAGATTTAGCGATTTAGCGATGAGGATAGTGAGGATTGTATAAGAGACGAGAGAGACGAGAGAGACGAGAGAGACGAGAGAGACGAGAGAGAAGATAAAGATCCAAGCTCAAAAGCCAAGTGAAGTCAAGAAAGAAGCCTAAAGATCACCTCATAGGACTGACATTGAAGTGTCACACAGCGATCATGCCATACCACGCAATGGAATGGGCAACGGGGTCCTCTTTTAGAAGAATTCGAGATCGAAAAAAAAAGCAATTAGCAAAAAATTACAAGAATCTACACGGCTATTGCGGGGAAATATAATTGCGCATGTCGAAGTCCACGTTGTGAAGAAAAAGAGGGGGAATTGTTGTGCTTGGGGCGCTTAAAAAAAAAAAGAGATAAGATGAAGTATCAAGGCACTTGTACGTACTTATAATTACTTGTAGGGTGTCAGATTAAAATTTATATATATGTAAACTGCGTATATGTATAGCACAGTTGATAGGGAAGTAACAGCGCTTCTGTAAAAGATCATCTTATGTGAACGTAACGATGTCGTCAACTCCCCACATCCATCCATCTGAACATACTTATATATACACAGACATCTAAAGAGGCAGAGTCGGTTCTTTGTTTTTGACTTAAAAAAAAACAAAAAAGGATGCAGGCACCTCGAACTGGAAAATCGAAATTTTCCTCCATTCAGTTCTTCCTATCGCATGATTTCTTTAAACATACTCGTCTGTTAACCTGTAACTATTAACACATGCAAGTACCTACACATTGAGCCAATACACCTTATCAAGCACCAATCATATCACCGAGCCATCCAGTCATATTCCTCCTCTGCAGCTATTCCTGTACCGACGATTATCTGTGCAGTAGTGCACAAGTTCTAAAGGGAACTAAAACTGAGAGGGCAGAAAAAAAATTAAAGAAAAACGATCTCAATCCCTGTGTTCTGATATGTCGGCCATTTCAAGATAGCCATCTGTATTGCATGCACCACTCTGCATTGGAATCAGCTGGTCTCGTTGATGCTCAAGTAGAATCGGGCTTTCTGCGAAAGAGGACTGGAAGCCCTATGATTTGGTCTTGAAGAACTCTTCTCTTCTTTTGATCGTCTTTTTTGGGGGGCCACTTATTGGGTTTACTAAGATAGGCCAAATAGGTCCGAGTGCATTCTCCAAATGCAATCGCCAATTCTGTAGCCCGATAGACATACGGGCGAGATAACCCGGGGAGAAAGGTCAAGTGCATGGGGTGCCTACAAAACTTCCACGAACGATTCAGGTGTGCCGCAAAAGATGAGATCATCTAGTATGTTTCAGCTGGGCTGGAGTCGGAGGGGGAGAGAGATGGCACTGATTCACTCTCCAGTCTTATCACATGGCTCGGCTGGAATGCGAACCAGCATTGATGGCAGGCGAGGGTCGTTGCGCGGCTTCTCCACATTCTTACCATCCGACTCAGTAGGTTCGTAGAGTCCGCCTGCCTTGCCTATCACAGGATAAAAATCAGTCTGAATACCCAAGGCTGGAAAGTAGCGCTTACTCGAGGCGAGGGTGATGGCCCTAATAACATTATCCCAGTTGGAAAGCACATATGCAACAGCTAATTGAGGTACAGTTAGCGACCAGCCGAAATCAATGGACTGGTAGGCCAACCTTCAGTGCCATCTTTCAGCGTGGAAATCTTATTGTCCAAAACTTGCATCTGAATCGCCAATGTTCCACTCAGATCGCGTAGTTGCCGCAAGTTCTCTAGCTCCGCCTTTTTGGCTGCAATGCGGGCCGACAGCGCCGAAGATTGCTGCGATTGCGAACCATTGGGCTGGCGCATGGACGAGCCACCAGGAGCGCCTGGAAGCATTGACGTGGGTCGTGAGGAGTATGCCATGGTGGGAAAGCCGTAGCGAGACGACAAAGTAGGTACAAAGAACGCGATCTCTCCCAAAGTCCTCGGGTGCCTTGTTGGACTCCAAGCTGCCCAGGCTTCGGAGCTCCAGAGCTGGGAGGGGCGCTGAGTCATCCAAACACGGAACGGGCACGCTAAGCTAAAAGCGGACAAACATCAACAAGGGCTTGGCATTCGACGCTGTTTACCTTCTGTCTTTCTCTCTCTCTCTTTGTACCCTATACTCCAGACGCAACCACCCCCACCATACACAGTCACTTCGTGGTATGTGATCCGTGGACTCGATATTCAATTCAAGTTTATTCCACCTGCAAACTGGGATTGTCTTTATATCTGATTACGCAGTGGTCGCTGCCCTCCAGCCTACATTATGGCTCGGTTGAATGACTATGCAGCTCCTGCCGAATCCATTGATGCCTGTAAGTTCGCGCAATATACCACTACATCATTATATTTGAACTAGCAGTTGACGTGGGGCCTCCTTTGTTTCCATTCAGTGAAGCGACGATTTGTGCGACAAAACCGTGAAATCGCGAGGGTGAATTCCTTGCAATCTCTCCGTATTCGCAGCCTAGAGTCAGAAGTATCGCATCTACTTTCAGAAAATGTTTCTCTTCGAAAACAGGTCATCAATCTTACACAAGAAGCCGAAAGACTGGAAGCAGGGAAAATGCTGCACAATGGAATATACGACATCAAATCTAAGCTGGATGCCAAACTAGCCGAGTTGAGCAGTTTGGCGGCAGACTTAGGCTCATTGCCCCGCAAGGTGGGCAAGCTTTGCGACGAACAGTTTGATAGGCCAAAGCAGACGGCAGAGTCGAGACCTAGGACAGAAGAAATGATGGAAGGAGAAGATGGAAGACTTCCTGCCATTATCGAGGACAAATTTTACCCTCGGCGGACTCTAGAGTGAGGATATTTGGGGATTTCTGGGCCATTCCAAGTTGCTAATACCTTCTTTAGGCCCCAGGAGCTCGACAGCCTAGTTGACGACGATAACAGTATTCTAGATTCTCCGCCGCAGTTCAGCTTTATGCTGGAGGAAGAACATGCACCCATTGGACATTCCAGTCCATCATCACCTGAAACAACATTCATAAGCCAAATCAACAATGATATACCCGAGGAACCCGAGCCATTACTTCCTCCAACTCTCGAGACACGCAAGAAGAATAAGAAGAAGTCGAGTTCGATTATTGCGCCTGAAGTTAGCCCCACGCCAACAGACCAGCAACCAAGTCTACTCATTGATACAACGCAGCAAGCAACATCGGTTTCGACGAAGCGCAAGTACATACCCGAAGACGATGACAGATTCACGTCCAACCTTGATGTTGACGAGGATGAATTCCAATTCACCCGGCCCAGCCATAGCCCAAAAAAGCAAACGAGCCCATGCGAAGATAAACAGCGAGACCAGTTACCTACCAAAAGCCATGTTGAAGGAACAAGAGGACCCCAAACCCCTGTCCTATCTATGCGGAAGGTTCTTGAACCAAGTATGTGCTGCTGTCTTTTGATTCTGCCCCTACCACACAAAGAGTGTAGCTAAAAAGCCGAACAGAGAGTGCAAACTCCAATCTAGGCTCTCCCAAAAAGGCCCGCACGTCTTCCTACCAGGACTCTACGCTTGTGCAGAGGTCCACCAAAGGTGACGAGAATAACTTCTCGCCACAGAAAGTCAAGGATGTTGAGAAGGTCGGTGGCAAGACTGCCAATCCAAAGCCACGAGTGTCCAAAATTGCCCCTTCAAACAAAGAAAAGCGCGCCGGTCGCCCTGCCCCTCCCCAGCTGGAAGAGTTAGCCTTATGCCTGCCAGCACTGTCACCACATCCGAATGCATTGAACATGGAGGAAGAGTCTGCAGGTCGGCCTTCCCGACGTCGTGGTGCTGTGGTTAGCTACGCAGAGCCTAACCTACGGGACAAGATGCGCCGCCCTACCAAGGAGATGATTGATGCTGTTGCATTTGGATCGCGAAGGTCCTCCAGTTTCCAGGTAGGTCGGGAAAGTTTGGACAGCGGGGGAGGGGGCATTCAGCCTCGTGGCACTCTTCCTGCTGATTTCACTCTTGCGGCGCAGAGCTCAGATCTGTCATTCGTAGATGGATCCTCGGAGCAGCTGCTAGCAATGGTCTCCCAGAGGAAACGCAAGGTTTTATCGACGCCGAAGGACGACAGTGATGAGGGAACTCCAAGCTCTGGTCTCAAGAAAGAGATTGAGGACAATCTTGCAGATATCTCCGCCCAAGTATCCCAAAAGCCATCGAATTTGACGCGTCAGACTCGGCGTCACTCGTCAAACCCCAAAAGTACAGCAGCGAACATGGCACAATACGACATGGACCAGGGTGAGCCTCAATCCCCAATCGGCGACTCTCCAGAAGATGAAGATTCATTTGGACCGGGGCCAAACGGTTCTTTAAATCGTGGTGTCAGACGTGGTCAGCGCGTTGCTGCAAGGAGAAAGAGCATGATGGTATGAATTCCGCTTTAGCGCTTGCAGAATGTACAATTATTATAGACCCAACCGGGCTGCAGTTATGTTTCATATACCCCTCACTGCGATCCCGATTTTCTCAATCCAAATTTCATTATCTTTTCTCTACATGTTTCAATTAGGGCAAGTAGCTCTTAACATGGCCATTTAACCGCCGGATTGCTTGCAGCGCAGCGCACCGTAAAAAGGGTTGATGTGCCCTTCCCGTGACTCCTTGATCATGCCACCCACGGGTGGGGGGTGTCTGTCCCGGAGTTGTGCAAATGTCATACACACTGCGCATAGAAATAGTTTCGTGAATATGCGATCCAGCCGGGATGATTCGCCGTGCATCAGACCTCCCCAAATCGTAAGTATTACGCTTTGCCCAGTTTCGTTTCATCATCCTGCCACTCAAAACCACCAAAAAACAAGATCAAGTACCCCTCGCATGACTTTGATGCTGATTCTTCAATGACTTGGGCATCTTCTCATATGCATTCGGACTCGGCTTCCTGCGATAACGCTTCGGTTTAGGATTGTGATCTTCGGAGCAACACCCTTCGTCATCGTGGGACGCATGTTCGTGCTCGTGCTCGTGCTCGCCGTGGGGTTCCCGCCCTCCATTGTGTGAGTTTGTGTGGCGAGCGCGGTTGACTCTGGAAGTGCAACGGTCGTCTTCACTTTCGCTGTCGCTCTCCGAGGAGCTAGATGAGGACTCTTCTGAGCTACTTTCTCCCACTGGCCGGGCTTTGTGGTAGATGCAGCATACTGGTGGCGGTTAGAATGTTGCTGGTTGCGGGTAGAATGGATAAGTTGGATCCGTACCCTTTGAGCTTTTTTTTCCCATGCCCTCGTTGTCAACAACATCTTCACTCCATCTGATTCGCCGAGAAGACGATGTTGCTTCACTGGTGTCAGTTGGTGCTTCCTCGGCTCGTAATCTTAGGGTTGGAATGTGTGGGGTTGATATATCCTGGGAAGACTCTGTTGTGGTTTGGAATGAACTTGAGGCCATTGGGTGTGTTCGAGACATTGCGACTGGGACGGAACAGAGTGAGGTGAGGTCAATAATCAAAGAATCAGTCTGAAGGCGGGAGGGTCTAGTGATGCAACTGATAAGGGTTCACCGCCTTCCAATCCCTCCACATACACAATAGTCGACCATATAAGCGACGCCTTTTTAAAGACTTTCTGGTCAAATTCTCAGATCTATGTTTTGGTGTTTAATTTTTATATGTTTCCTCCTGGTTTTGTAGCAATATAGGCAGTGAGAATGGCTGAAGAGATGCAAAAGTTGATGAACAAAATTTTACGGATTGTTCACTTCCTAAGTGCCTTTGAATTGGAGTTTTTTTTTTTTGGATCATTTGACGTTATAAGCTATCAAACAAGCTCACGCCTTCGATAGGCAAAGTGCACATAGGATAAATTGGTACATCCGTTGTAGAGAGTTGTGATGCGCCAACCTCAAAGAACCCTCTCAGCCAACCAAGGGGGGTGATGAAAAAAAGAAAAGATGAAAAGGATAAATTCACACAAAATTTTTCCAGAGTAAAGCCTCCTTATGTTGCAGCAATACATGGCTACCTGTGATCTAAAGCTCGTAAAAGGACCAGCCGTCAAGGCCGTCATTCTGGGAGGTCAACCTTGATTCTTGCTCAAATCCAGGGGAACCAGTAGAGGCAGCAACAAACTCAGTGCGCAGTTCTTGGTCCAGTCATAGCTCATCTTCCTGATCCATCTCCGATGGCTTCAACAGGCCACCGACCTTCATAGCTCGGTCGCGCTCGGCGACCTGGGCATCACGCACCGCCTGTTCCCGTTCTTCCGCATACAGCTCCGCGTTGTCATCAGAGAACTCTTTCAGGGAAATCAGGAAATCACGAAGGTGAGTCTTGAATTTGTTCAGGTCATCAGTGTACGCAAACAGTCCAAGAACGAACTGTTTTATTTGTGCTCTAGTGGGGAAAAGTCAGCACGGTCTTGCATGGTTTTAATTGTCAGGGGAGGGAGGGGGGTTGGCTTACTCCTGAAGATTACTGAATGCATTCTTGAGCAGATTTGCGATGTGCTCCTGCAAGAAGTCCTTGTTTGAAGTTCCAGCTGGGGCTTGGTCAGGGGAATAGATGGGCTCCTGGATTTTGCCAGATTCCACAAAGTAAAACATGCGCGACAAAAGCATGGCCTGGGATTTAAATCCTAAAAGATTTTGTTTTGAGCTTCTTGCTTCATATCAAGGAGAGATGGCTTTACTTACCAGCCTTATGGTCACTATCCGTGAGGACAAAGAAGACGTCTTGTAGAATAGCAACGTAGAACTCGCGGAAGAAAATGCTCGAGGTTTGCTGATCAGTTTCGGCCATGTTGTTCATCAGCTCCAAACACATTGTAAGACCAGTGTTTTCCACCTCGCGGTTATCATGCTTTGATGCCCACATGCATGAATCGATAACAAACTTGAACTGCGCAGCATCGAGCTTCAGAAGTGCTTGGAAGCAGTACAGATTGACAGCTTGTAGCAATTTGAAGAACTCGACCCGGTGCTCAGGGTATTCGTGGAAGTCCTTGTTGATCATCTCAAGAGTGCAGTTGAAGACACTATCCATGATGGCGGGAATCTTATCCTCCATCAGATTCTAATTAACTCGTTAGCAAGGTACAAGTACAGGAGGTGCCAGGCCATCAAGCGACACAAGCAGAGAGGATGAACATACGTGAAGCTTGTGGATAATCGTAGTCATGGCATTCAAGACCTCAGCCTCGCGTGCATCGGGGACGTTCCGGGCATAATCGATCAGTACAGCCTCCATGAGCGGCGGTACCATACTAGAATTGACCATCTCGAGGTCATCAGACTTATCCACGTAGGTATCGATGAGCTTCAAGATTTCTTTCTTGATCGTCCGAAGTCCTCGGACCTTGGGGGTTTTCGGGGCGATGGCTCCTGTTTTTGGGTCAGTCAAAAAGTTCTAGTGTTCACCACACAGCGGATTGGAAGAGATACCATCACTTGCAACAGCATCATTAATTAGCTGACTGGCAGCACGGTACATATTCAACATGTCATGATAGATCCGGCCAATCTGAGAATAAAAGTAGGTACCAATCGAGGAGCAAGCTGCAACGTTAGTCTTCATGATGTTTCCGACAATCTTGATGGTGTTAGCATCTTGGAGAATCGCCGGATTTTGGTTTGCCTCCGCGATAATCTGATCCCAGGCAGTGTTGGGAAGCGCCATCAAGTTCTCGGTCAAGCGGTCCTGCAGACCCTTTTGACCTTGAGCCGAAATCATGTAGCCACAGGCTTCGTAGAAAGTATGAATCTGTTGCGGAGAAAGGTCCATGGTGATCTTCCTCATGTTTCGGACAATTTCTTCGATAAAAGGTTCACTTTCACCAGGTTGGAGAGCCACAAAATGGCGTCTGCACTTGTTGGCAATCTTGATAAACGTATCGCAAGCCATGTCCTGGACACCTTCGTGTGTCTCGTGCATGAACTCGAAAAGCTTGTTGACTACCGTCTTCAGGAACTTCCAGTGAGCCTTCAAGAACCGGGGATATTGTCCCACGATGTACATGATGTTACTCGCCACCACAGCCTTGTTGTCCTTTCCACGCTTCTGCTCTGTGAGACCAAGCAGATCCTTGATCACGGTTACCAGGAAGCGTTTCTCGGTCTCCTCATTCATGGCTCCAGAGATAGAACCGATAGCCCAGCACAACGTGTTGCAGTTCACCCACGACCATTCAGTTCCATCAACTTGCTTAGCCAGTTTATCAATCATGATGGTTTCCGTATCAACCACATCAAGATGGGTCAAATAGACCAAGCACTCGCGTATCGTCTTGTAAAGTTGGATCGTATCGCTTTCCTTGACAAACTCGCGCACAATTTCGCCCTCGTCGTTTTCAACAACCAAGACCTCTTCTGGACGGACCATCTTCTCGATCATCACGGTGCGAAGGTTTGTTAACACAGTTTCATACTTGTGCTTGCGCAAAGGATAGTTCGCAAGGGTAGTGGGATTAGGAGCACCGCCATTCGCCAGCCCACTAACGCTCATGGATACAAGCGGGTTGATGTCGGTGATTGGGAGCTGTTGCATCTCTTCGTAAAGTTCTTGCACGAGCCTTGTCCAGTAGTCCAAACAAATCTTGAATACCTCCCGATCATCGATCTGGCTGACCCGAATCAGATAGAAATGTGCGTGCGTGAGGTAATCTTGGTTAGGCAACTTTTCGATGAGCTGGAAAAGAAAGTAGGAAGTCAGTAAAAAGTTAACCCAAAAACCCCCCCAAACCAGGCGTTGGAGAAAAGGAGGAGCATACATCTAGGTGGGCACTGAAAAAGCTCGAAAGGAACAAGGCCAAGTTTGATACAAACTCTTGGTCTCTTCCATTGCTCATGGCATATGTCTGCTTTAGGTCGAGGGACAGAGGAATGACATTGGAAACGGTAGTGAGGGTCTCGGTGAACATGTGCACCAATCGTTCGTCATAGTTGTAAGGGGTGCCAATTTGCAAGCCACCGATCTCAGTCAGACACTTCAGAGTCACATTTCGGAACTCGGGCTCTCCGAGGAATCGGGTGAGGAGAGTGTTGATGATCGGCGTTTCGAAAATGTAGCCCAACGGGATCCAGTTCAAAAATCGAAGGAGAGTTTCAAGGGTCGCTTTCACCAAACTGGGCTGGTTTGCAGTGTTGAGAACCTCGGAGCACAGTTGGAAGATCGAGGCAAATTCCGAGGTCATGGAGGTCTTTAAGTTCCGTGCCTTCGCCGAGGTCATTTGATCTTGCGAAAAATCAAAGACTTCCTCCGACAATAGACGGAGAATTGTCATGTTGTTTTCACAGATCGAAAGGCTGGCATGGCAAGAAGAAATGATCTCGTTGATAAAAGTGGGCCAGTTGTGCGGCCATTCTTGCTTCAGAATGGAGACGAGGACGAGATTGAGCTTGTTCAGTAGAGGGCGCTCCGCTTGGATCTTCTCTTCAGATTCGGAGTTCTCGAGAATGAATCTCACAATGAAATTGCGGATACCTATGAAGAGCAATCTTAGTATGGGGCGGGAGACAAAACCAGGTGCAGTTCTTACCCTGGCATTGTTCTCTTGGTAGGACCTTCCACCGTGTCATAATCACATTGTCCAAGACTTGGAGAGCAATGTCTATTTCAGGTCAGCAAGACTTCCCCAGCATTTGGAGGCATAAGGGAGATTTCCAAAGACTCAAAACACACATTTGGTTTGAAGGTACGAGGCCTCTTGGAGGATATTGCCCACGGTAACCCAGGCATCGGGGTTTTGCTTGAACTGCAGAGTACATAACAATCAGCCTTCAGCTCATGTGAGATTGGGGAAGAGTTGCGCGCTTACTTCTGTCAAAGTCTGTTGTGCTTGGTTTTGCTGGAAGCGGTTTTAAAATCAGTGTTATTGCCCCCAGAGCTTTAGTGAGAAAGAGAGAAAATCCATGGATTCTACAATACAAGCAGTGTAGAACAGATAGGTTTGACTTACCACGGCACCTTTGCCTTCAAACAGAGCTCGGACCGTGTTGTCCAGCTCTTGTACCGAAATCGACATCCTGGCGCAGGCTGGCGATTTCGCCTCTGATGAAGGAATAAGGTTTGAGACACGAGAGTCAAGAGTGGACGTTGATGAGAACCGCCTTGATAAGTTATGGGGGTGCCACGGCGGCTGCAGGGCAGTATCAAATAATAGAGGGGAACAAGAAGCAAGTGTGACCGGTGGGGTAGAGAGATCCTTAAGAGGGGTTGGGGTCAGCACGATGTCAGGACGAGAAATGATTGGATGGAGAAATCAGGGGAGGCGATCAGTCCAGGTCAAGGCTTACCAGACTCTGAAGGCAAAAAATAACAACACGAGATTGGGGTCAAAAAAAGGAAGCTATCGCAGACTCTGGCGGTGAGAGCGCGTTGGATGTTTGAACTTGATCTTCTCCCGGGTCTCGTTGAGGTCTTAGTCAGCACCGGCTTTCTAACCTTGGATCCAGTACTCCGTACAACCAACAGAACTATACATATATTCATGGATACACCTACTTTGTAGGTATTATATTGTTATCAACTCAGGTGTATTTTCATTTTCTATGATAGTAGGAGAAAAGTGATAGTGATGGTGATAGTGATAGAATTCTGAGAGTTGGGCTGAATCAGGTGCCAACACTTAGTAGTCTATACTACACATTTCTGTATACAATAACCAAGCATGGCGTACGCATAGATTGTTCCGTAAGAATAGATATAATGCAGAAAGAAGTACGGAGTATTCCGTATTCCGTGAGTAAAACAAAGAAAAATCGTATAAACTCACTGAAAGCGCCCATGAGGCATCCGTGCTCAGCCGACTCCTCTAGTGATTTTAGTTCCTTGGCCCTAGCGCCGCGGTACGCTGCAGTCATCAATAACTCCCGAGATGAGCGCCAGATCCATGAAAACTCAGGCTTTTAAAAGAAATGGATGGAAAACGATAAAACAATTTTGAAAAGAAGAACTAGATTGAAGTTTTTTTATTCAAAAATGTACCACAAAACAACAACAAAAGTCGAGTCCTCTTTAAGCGCATAACCGCCATTATGCGCGGGACACCGCGTACACGGGCGCCAACGGCGAATGTAGGCAAAAAGGAAATTAGAAGAGGGGGAAAGAACTGGGAACGCGCGCAGAAAACAAGTCCAAAGCGGATAGGTCGTGTCTCAGACCCGCGCCTCACTAGGATACGGCTGATCGCTTCTCCGATTGGTGCTGCCTGTGGCGCCGTCTTTGCCGATCGCGCGCCAACTTCCCCTTTCCCTAATTTTTTTTTTCTTTCTAGTTATTGGAGATTACTCTCTTTTTTATTTATTTATATTTTATTATGTACTTTTCTTGAAAAAGAGAGAGAGAAAGAGAGGGAGGGTCCTAGCTCGGTGTTTTCCCCCTTCTCTTTTATTAGTCTCATCCCCCCCCTCCCTCTTCTCCCCCATTTTCCGTCTCTTCCTTCCTCCTTTGGCTTTCTCCCTCTCTCTCTCTCTCTCTTTCTCCTTCTATCTTCTTTAAATTTGAGCCTTTTGCGACTTCTTTTGCATTTTTATCAGTTTTCTCCCTTTTTTGGGGGGTTTAAAAAGACGCACCACTTTGTTGGATGCTCTGCTTTCGACACATCTTGTATACTATCTGAGATAATCTCCCGATCTCCTTGCCCCACCCAGGTGACTTAACTTGCAATTCCACGCCAACAAAGAGCTGTTGACTAAGATATTGAAAGTATTTCCAACCCTTTCAAAGCTTCTATTCTCTTCTCTTGGAGACTATCTCTCACATTTGGGGGCTATTTCTTGGCAATTGAGTGGAAACTTTGGCCTATACCCATCTACTTGAATTGTCTCTTACACCTCTCGGTGTAACTCCAGCCCTATAATTTGTGGTCTCTGATTTCCTTTCCTTTTCTTTTTTTTCTTTTTCTTTTCTTTTCTTTTTATTTGGCTCCTTGGCTTCTATGATGACGGCTCTTGCTGCTGCACCTATCATGAATGGTAGTCACGACTCTGGGGCCGAAACGGGGACGGAACACAGCCCATCCCGATTTACCGCAGTTAATGGCAGAGAACCCGTGATCTCTGCAAATGGCAATGGGAATGGTCATGGGCTAACACCCAGTTCTGTCCCCAATGGAGAACGTGTACCCGCCCAAGAAAAGACCAATTTAGATCCCAGTCGGGATGATCGGGATGATCGGGATGATACTGCCAAAGATCAAGAGAAGTGGTCACAAACATCCTCGCCCAGCGGCTCTCACAACAGGAATAAGAGAAAAAGATCAGAGTCTCGAGAACAAGATTCTGTGAACGCCTCCAGGAGCCCGGTAAACCGTCCCGAGAGCAACCAACCCAATCCAAACGGCTTGCCAGGTTCGGCCTCGGAGATAGAGCGTGGCAATCATTCTGCAACATCATCTCACCGGTCCGAGGGGAATGATGCGGGCCATACCTCCGCCAATAGTCCTTGGTCAGAATATGATTCTCAGCTGATCACCCAGGCACAGCGGGCCCAGCAAATTGATGCATCGGATGTCCACCTAGCAGACGCTCTTCAGCGCGAGACAGGCCAAGAAAGGTCCATGACAAATCGGTCAACCCCCGGCACGCAACAGCCGTCCTCTCCTAGTTATGCGCCAGATCGACATGGGGCCGCGCAGGTGGCTCCAAAGAGGAAGCGGGTATTTAGTAACCGAACGAAGACAGGCTGTATGACCTGCCGCCGCAGAAAAAAGAAATGTGACGAGCAACATCCAGCGTGTAAGTTCACTCCTTATGGCTCTAGCTTCCCCGTTTCTTTCTCTCTTTTCTAAAATTATTCCCTGTTCAAATTTCACTAAAGGAACGACATTAATGATGCACTGTAGGCAACAACTGTCTTCGTGGGGGCTTTCTGTGTGAAGGGTATTCATCCCGAAGCACCTGGCAGAAGCCGTCTAGTACAAAAACCCCGATCCCTTTGCAATCCAAAGAAGGCTATTCAGACATCAATGGCCCGTATGTGCAAGAAACAAATCGACACCAAGACCGACAACCTAACCTAGTGGAGCATGTCGAATCCACGAAAATCAGGCCCATGGTGGTGGAGGAAAATGACCGCCCCGTTCAACAATACAATACCAGCCCAACAGTTGCGCCATCCAACCATGCGTGGTCAAAACAAGCTTGGCCAGGTGCTGGCCCGGGGACTGGGTCCAATACTAGTCATCCCCCTTATCCCTCCGAACCCATGGCGAAAGTTGTCGATTATCGGGAAGTTCCACCTATCCATGAGCTATCGCGGGAAGGCGTCCCAAACCTGACTATCCGGTCATCTCTTCACTTCGGGACCTCAGTCATCCATCTCATCCTAAATCCAACATGCCCTTATTCCAAAATGGGCCCGAGCCACGGACACTGCCCGCAGCAGCTGTGGACACCCATAGTCCCCAGGCGCAGGCTCGGATGGCACTTAGTATCGAGCATCAGCTCTCTGGCCGTACCCTATCGAGTGACGAGACAGAGAAGGAAAAGATGATCAGAGGCAAACTCTACCGACCATTTGACGTTCACCTCGTGGAGGAAAGAGATCGTTGCCGAGGTGCACTATGGAAATTTAATAACGCCTGCAATCCTCTCAACGGCATCAGTTCGAAAGAGCAAAACCGCCTTCTGAAGGAGATCATCGTACCTCCGGCATCTTCCGTTGTCAACTCCCCAGCTGGAACTGGCGTGCCTCGCTCTGCCGGATCCATCGGCCAAGGGGCGGTTGTTGAGGCTCCTTTTAGTTGTCATTATGGTTACAACCTCCACATTGGGGAAGACGTCATGATTTCGGAGAATTGCCTGTTTGTGGATGACTGTGTTATCCGCATCGGTGCTCACACATGGATAGGCCCCAACGTCAAAATCATTAGTTCAACTGCTCATCCCAACATGCAAGAGCGCAAAGGCTCGCAAAGTCGATATCAAGGTCGGCAAGTCATTATCGAAGAAGACTGTTATGTGGGCGCGGGTTGCATCATCTACCCAGGGGTTCGTCTTGCTCGTGGCGTTTATGTAGCCCCAGGGGAGATTGTCAACACCAACATTGCAGGTTACATGTTTCAGGGGTCAAAACCCAGCTTTGCTATGTGAACGAAGTGACGTGTATTGATGTCGTATATGTGCCGAATAATCATCCGCTACGTTACTGGTCTACCAACAACGCCTGTAGATGAGCGAGCGAAATAATAACTCGTGGATTTGTTCCTCTCTTTTCATTTGACTTTGAACTTTTTTTTTACTGATCTTGATTTTGATTTCGATATCCACCGTCGCTGATGAATGGTTATCTTCACTCTTGTATGTTATTAGCGTTCCATGCGGCGAACCGGATGTCATCATGCAGCCTATACACATTGCCTCTGCATTATTTACCTCGTTTTTACCTCAATTCTGCTACAAAGTTTTTTTTCCATCTGAACCTGCCAACAAATACCTGCTACACTGTCAGTTGGACAGAAGAAGAGATGAAGAAATGAATAAAATTGTAATAAGAGGGTAATCGTAAAATAAAAGGGAAAACATCATGTCACATAAAGGGAAATCTATCCAGTTTTCAAGTCGCATTTTTTACGTTCAACACATCAGACCCAACGTAGAAGTCAGATGTAAAATACAATCAGTGATCACACGAGAAATGAGAGGCCCGAAAATCGCACTTTTGGAGTGGAGAAAGTGTAGTAAAGGAGAAAGTGGCGAGTTGAATGAACAACTAAAGCCAGTCGAGAAATTCCGGGACAAAGTAACTGATCACAATCCCAGCACCTGCTCTCAATATGCCTTCAGTGCTTTCCAGGGCCATATCCTTGAGATTGAAGACACCGGCCTTAGCAGCAGCATGAATCATTGCAAATTCACCACTGACCTGGTAGGCGGCTACCGGAAGATCCGGTGCCAAATCCTTGGCATCCCGGATGATATCAAGGTAGCTGCTGGCTGGCTTCACCATGATAATGTCTGCACCTTCGGCCATGTCCCTCTGTATCGCCCGTCGGGCAAGACCGCGGCCGCCTGGAGGAAGCTGGTAGCACCGACGATCCCCGAATGAGGGGCAGGAGCCGGCCGCATCACGGAACGGTCCATATAAGCAGCCGCTGAATTTAGCACTGTAAGACATCAAAAGTACACGGTGTGCCACACCAGCTTCAATCAACTTGAGCTTGATAGCCCGGATTCTTCCGTCGTTCATGTCTGATGGGGCCACGCAGTGAGCTCCAGCCACGGCGTAGGCAATAGCTACATCGGAAATCCGATCAACGGACTGCGCGTTGTCGAGAGTTCCATCTTCTCGTAAGATACCACAGTGACCGTGCGATGTGTACTCGCAGAGGCAAACATCGGTTGTAATATAAAGTTGAGGGAAACGAGATCGGAGAAGACGAATAGCCTGAATGACAGGACCATCGGGGTCATCTGCGGCGGTCCCCAATGCATCCTTGGCGGATGGCTGAAGCGGAACACCAAACAACATGACCGATCGCAGTCCCTTCCGAACAAGAGGAGCAACAAAGGGAACCAGACGATTGATTCCACGACGGTATTGATTGGGCAAGGAAGGAATTAATGTCTCCTCGTCGGGATTGTCTGTGATGAATAACGGATAGATGAGCATATCCTAGAGAGACAATGTATTAGCGATGAGTTGCCAGTAGAATTTTGAGTCTCCCAACACCATTGAAAGCGGACCTTTGTCAATTGCCTGTCGGCCTGCCATGCCCTAGTCAGGGGATGGCTGTATCCAGAATGTAACTGGCTGGAAACTTCGCCAGAAATGCTGACGCTTGTGGCTGCGGTGCTGGCATAAGACCGAGCGGTCGCGTGAGACAGGTGAGATCGGGCGCGGGATATTTGGGAGCTGCCATCATCTAGACGAGCATCACGGAAGGCAATGTCGGACACCAGATTTGAAAAAGACATGTTGAAAAAAGAGAGCGAGAGGGATAAAGACAAGGATCAACCTTGGAAATTGCAGAGGTGAAATTGAAGGGAATTGGGGAGGCCGAAGATAAGGTCCATGGGTGAATAAGGTGAATATCAGCTACTCTGATTGGTTAACTAAACCTTTCAGGTCCCGCACTTTGCCACTCCGAGTCTGCCGGATGTCCCGTTCTGAGAAATAAGATTAGATCGAGATCGGTGAAGGCCATTTGTTGTTTTCAGAACGTAGGTCGGTTCACTAGCTCCTATAACTATCAAATTTTGGTTATTTGTCAAATTATACGTTGCAATTTGTTGTGAGTCATGTGACTTCCCGTTTGCTCCCAGTACTTCAATCTAGCTAGTGCCTATAGGAGTTTGACTATTTGCACACCCCTTAGCGTCATTTTTTGCTATCTGCACATTTTTAGTCCTTTTTAGGTATAGCCTTTCTTGGATAACCG